TCTTTAGTGTTTCCTCGTAGTCATGTATATGTGCAAATAACCTGCATAATAATATACAGCAATTATGTATAATTATATATAGAAGAAACACAATAATTTTATCATTTGTTTTAGAAGCAAAATGTAGATGTCTGCATGCACATTAAACATACCATAAGCGTAACATCATGTATATGCAAAATTCTGTTTGCAAAACGACTAAATCAGGACTGGTCACTAATGCTGTCATCAGATCTGGTGAAATTTCTTTCAGAAAGGACGGATGTCGCCATCCGTAACCTAATAGATTGACCTCCAGCCAACGTTTCGCAGCTGCTTTCACAGTAGGCACACCATACGACACAGCTGCATTATAATATGATACAACAGTCTCGCTATTTGTAGTTTCTATCATTATGTCTACACACTCGTCTATTAAGCCTTGTAATTGAAACAGGGTAGAAGTTGCCAGGATAGAAACCACTTCTTTTGGCTCCAAACTGACTTCATCTTGATACAATGAACCCAATACCACAGACAATGCTGGAATAATTTTAGATATTATTTCTCGATAATGTAGTATATATCTTCTAATATATTATTTTTATACAGCATAAGATTAATTTCAATATTTAATTATATGATGCTCTTACAATTTATCGTAATATTAGGATCTGTAATTTCAACACTGATGACTTTTTCGTTAGCCTCCTTCCAAGAACCAGAAAACATGCTAGCAAAATATGGACTCTAAAAAAATAAATTTTTTGTATACATTATCCTAAACTTACATATCGTGATATTACAAAAATATAATTAAAATTATGACATAGATTTAAAAACAAATTCCTCGACTAATTTAAAATCTACATATTTTATCTTAATAAAAATATTAGAACTACATTAATATCAGCAACGACAAAGAATTTAATATCATATTAAAATGTACAACTTTTTGCAAACAATAACTGCAAAATACAATAAAAAAGCTTTATTTCTTTTTTAATTCCAAATAAATTTAATTTTAATAAAATTTAAATTTCTACAAGACTTGTTTCCAAAGATATTTAATGTTATAACACAAAGAGCTATAGCAGACAATGGAGTAATGTCAAATTTTAATTGAATATTTAACATCTCAAGTATTGACGCCAAAATATAATACAATTACTGACACTGAATCTGTAAGATCCATTTAATTTAAATATTAATTAAAAGGCACTAATTAATTTTAAGGAATCAAAATAATATAATTCGTATTTAAAAAAATCAATACTAAGTATATTATTATATATCTTAATAATCTAAAATTTGGAAATGTAACAAAAAAAAAATTTAATTGTTTATAATTTAACATTTTTTACAAAGAGATTTACAATTAAGTAGATCCGATAGATCTACTACAGTTACCAAGAGTTAAATTCATATCAGAGGATATCTGTTATTGAAATTTCATGACCTAAGGAAGATATCGAGAGAGGGAGTTCACATAGGAATGACTCATACCTGACTAATATAAACTTTATGCAATCTCCATGCACGTCCAAGTATGAGGACAGTTATGTCACTGCCTTTCTCCTCTTGGAACAGGGTCTTATATATGTACTGCGCCGTTGTCAACAATTTTCTCCTACAAATAGAATACGAGATTTAAATGCCAAAGCTCTACGCGATACAACATGACAGTTGTCGTTAAACAACAAGGAAGCAAAGGGAGATAAAATGCCCGAGACAGATGCAAATCCGGCCGAGCGATCTTACTTTTTCGGCGTGTGCAACGTCCGCTCGATGTAATCGGACTCGGAATCACAATCATACTCCTCGATGTATTTTCGCTTGCAACCCCGATAGACGTTGTGCACGGCCAGGTTCGACATCGACGCGATTCTACTCGCGTAGCCACCCATCGTTACGGCGATCGGCGTACGACGCTGCGGTGGATTTTATTTCTTTCCCTTTCTCGTTTCACTAAACTGAACGCGTCTTCCCATGGAGATCACGCGTTCTCACTTGATGCACGTCGTCGTCGTCGTCGTCGTCGTCGTCGCCGTCGTTCTTATTCTCCAATAGGAGTCTGAAAAAATGAAACTTATACAAATGCGTAGGCGTATTGAGGTGTACTGGTGATCGGTGAATGCCGTGGATGGGCGGAAGCGAGCCGCGGACAGCGCATGTAAACACTCGACATATGTTGTGGCCAGGGCTGACTATTGACGAGGGGGGCCCCCCCTCCCAGTTATAACAATTTTCGTGAAATAATTAATTCAGTATACCCCAATAATAATGGTATTAACGATGACACTAATTAATAAAAAAGTGAATTGATTTTAATTGTAAGATATACATATATCAATTGATACATTGCTGGTATATTCTACTTTAATTTAATTTCACAAACTTAAAAGGTATGCTAATCATTAGTGGCATCGAGGAAGGAATAATTTTATATGAAAAAGCAAAGAGTTAAAATATCCAAATAAGATAATTTCATACAATAAGCTTTTAGTTTTCTTATAGATATTATACAAACGGATGACTGAAAATTAAATTTTATCATTTACATTAAAGTTATTATTTTTTAACATTTTTTATTACACACATGTATGAAGTTTAAAAAAAGTTTCTTTTCATTTCTTTTAATTACAAAGTTAATTTTCCCGGAAATAAAGCTTTGTTGAAAAGATTTTGTCAGATATTTTTGATATATTTTTTCAACGTTGGATAGTAAATAGTTAATTAGTCAAAATTTAAGTGATAAAGTTATAATGATAATTTTTATTTTCTGTATATTTAATATTATCCTTACATCCACGACAATTCACGCATTGATAGTCACCAACACACTGAGCATTGAGCAAGCTGCTGAAAAGGTGTCCAACTATTTACACTGGCAAGTGGCAATGAATAATGGAACATAACCTGAATATGTAGCGTGTAGTAAACAATTCTCTTTTTTTTTTTACGTGATTACGGTGCGTACCGATCATCGCACGATAATTATATTAATGGCGTAAGAATGCAAGTTTGTGTTCGAGGGTTTCAGGGATCAATAGCGATAAGATGGTGAATAAAAAGTTAAACTCGTCTTGTGTGTGTACATGACCATTTAACCTCTCGTCACATTGTGCCAACGATCTAGTTGCTATTAAAGCTGATGATATCAACCGTAATATACTATATTCGATGAACGAACTCAAGACTGCGTCATTGAGTTTTTTTAATCAGCGTTATAGAATGCTGTAAGTTACGGAGAGATGTTACGACGAAATAGGTAATCTTTTTATGCAATCGTCTAACAAGCGTATGTGATAGTCGTTCAAAAACACATTACATTCGAGTTCAAATAAACAATTATTTTTTACAAACAGAAAATTAAAATCTGCTCTGTAAATTACCTCAAATAAATACTTGATTTGATGAGAAATTTGATAGTAAAATGGTAAGCTATTAATAATAAAGAAATATATTAAATTAAAAAAAAAATAGTCTGTTTTATTTATATTATTTAAACACTTTTATCGATTAATATAAAGTGAACTGTGATTATATGAAGTGATTAAGCAATGACTGTTGTCTTTGTTTTGCAACACTTACAAGATCTAAGAGTTACTTTTCGATACAATGTATAAGAAAATAAAATTATAAATGATTAATAATTTATATTAAACAGGTTGAAGCACAGAGTAATATCAATTGGTATCATTGTTCTTGTGACAATATTTTACAATGAATTTCTCGTATACGAAGTACAAAAGCTCAAGTGGACCATGCGCGAATGCTCCGAGTGCGTCAAGATTCTTCTTGTCGCAGATCCTCAAATACTCGGGGAAAAATATGAGAATTATTTTGGTTCATGGATAGCAAGATGGGATAGTGATAGGTATGACCAGCAAAACATCTAGTAATTTTATTGTAATCAATAGACAAGAGCCTTACGGATCATTTGTATTTTGTTGCACAGGTATTTAGAGAAGACTTTCTCGAGAGCATTAAAATTTTCTCAGCCGCACGTTATTGCCTTCTTAGGTGATCTCATGGATGAAGGTCATATAGCTAATGCAGAAGATTTTGAAAGGTATAAGAAGAGGTTAGATTCAATATTTTCGATGCCAGATGACATAATGGTATTTTATTTTAATTACATAATTTTCTTTTCTCCTTTCTTGTGGAAATTATGTTTCATTTTTAGTCTTGTCTTTTTTTAGAAAATTTATTTGCCAGGTGACAATGATATTGGAGGTGAGGACGATCGTGTTTCTCCCAACATCCACAAGAGATTTAATTTTGCATATACTCAACCAGACACATTAGTGTACAAGACCGTTACCTTTTTCAAAGTAAAAGCAAATCTTCTAGATATAATCTTTGCGTGTTTATGAGATAAATTGGCAAATATTTTATTTTAGGTAAATAGATTGACACGCACGATGCCGGAAGCGCCGAAGGATGCATTTCTTAATGATTACGCGGAAAGGAATACGACTAATGTTATTCTTAGCCATGTACCTTTGCTGTTTACGCCCGGAAGTTTTGTACAAAATGTAATACTTTTAAAGTATTACAAATAAGAGAAACTCACTTGATGATTTATCTTGTACCACTGTCTGATCTTATAGGTAATCAAAGAGTTATCGCCGCAAGTCATTTTTACCGCGCACGAACACAAAGCGATGCAAATAAGTCTGGACACGGCGACAGATCAGTTAAGCGACGTTTGGATTTTGTCACCTTATGAAACACTTCTGTATCAATTAAGAATGGACGTAGGAGATATTCACGAAATACAAATACCCACCTGTTCCTACAGAATGGGTACACCACACATGGGTTATGGACTTGCGTATATAGGTATAGACCTTTCAATATGTTGAATTTCTCAAGATTTATTATTGGTCATAATTACATTGATGTGTGTATATACATTGCAGATACTCAAGAGAAGACCGTTGAATTCACAATTCTGTGGTTACCTGACAGATTCCCGCTGCTACGTGCTTATATATTTATCGGTATATTGGTCGTGATACTTGCCATTTGCTTTTTCGTTTCAGGCTGTTGCGTAAAAAGCTATGCAACTTATAATCGTTTACCTCCCGTTTAAAGTAGGGTTTAATCCAAAAAGTACTTATGCATTCAAGTGAATTAACTTAGCGTTGTGATTAGGTACAAAGATCCGTCCAGATTACATGATTCTTCGATCGTCTGTATTAAATCCCAAAGGAAATGAGAATAACGTTTATTAGCTGCCACGTTGAAATAACTTACAATGAAACTTAGGGTACTTGATGATACAAATTGATAAAAATGTTCTATTTTATTCATTAATGTCGAGAAAGATGGAATGATGTTTTGTTGACTTGTATCGCTAAATAATATTATCTTGTTCATTGAATCTCAAAAACCTTAGATCTCCAAAACAAGACGCTTTTAAAGAATCTCTTTCTCTTAATACTTTCTATAAAATTATTTATGATGAATATATATATATATTTATTTGCTTTAAATATTAATCACACACATGTCATACATGACTGAAAGCATGCCAAATATTCTATTGAATAAGTGTTGGCTTTAGGCATTTTGACTGTTTCAATTATAATTCGAGTGACTTATAATTTCAAGAAAAACTTATCGTCAAAGAATAGATAAATGGTAAATGGTGAGTTCTTGTAAGAGTTCAAATTATTATATCTGAATTTAATTCTGTATTGTTTTTCGGTATTCTAAATCATCATTTTCTTCAGCCTTAAAGCCAGCGCGGCATAAGAGTATTATGTACATAGCGATATTTCTTGATGAATCTCAATGTTTTATTCTGAAATCTCTGTGTGTATGTGTACACACAAACACACACACATACATATACACATAAATACAATATGCCAAACGTTAATGTGGCGGTATTCGAACGTCACCGATTTACTCAAATGATTTCTTCTATATAATACGTAAAAGAAGAAAACCTACTTAAAATACATCACCATGTAATGTCAATGAGATAATAGAAAAAATTCGATTACGCTGTCTTAGTTATGCTCTCTTAATTAATGAATAAAAGATTCTATTATATATCATGTTATAAAATATAGAAATATAAGGAAGAATTGTTGAGCAAGAATGTATTATAGATAGATCGATTTATATTTCTTCGTGATCTGTATACACGCAATATTTGAAGTAAATGTGCTGAGACACAAATTTAATCTATTATACATTGCCTTACATGAAGATCTTATTTTTTCTTAATATATATTTTATATGATGATTTTTTTGTGTAAATATTATAATAAACATTGCTTAGCTCTCCTGGCAAAATCTGTAATAAAGTTAACAGATAAATTTGAAAAACTCATTTATGTTATTATAAGTGTGATTTAGTTTTCAGTTTTTTTTTTCAAAAAATGTGTGATTTAAACAAGATAATGAATACCTTAATCAAAATATTTTTCTTTGTTTTCTACAATTTTTTCCTATCTTTATAGCAAGAGGTAATTGATATGAAATCCATTTTCCTTCTTTATGAATCTTCCATATCATGTAAACGTTTAGTAACTGTTGCACGATTAACATTTAATTGTATGGCGATTTCTGAACTGATTGCTGAACCAATATTCACATGTCTTAATTGATGGAGCAACATCATAAATTTCTATTAGAATTCTATAACTTTCAGGCGTCGTTTTCTTTTAAACAAAAGCAACGCATGTCGAAAATGCTCTTTAGGAATCTCCATTTTTTAAATTACAAACACGATGCTTATTGCGTCTATTATTAGTAAACGACTAAATATCATGGAGTAATAGCTGTGATTGTCTTCAACAATACGCAAAATCCTCTAAACTAAATTACACTCCTATAATAATTATAACACATTAATTACAAGGAATCAAAATGGCATAACTCGTATAAAAAAGAATGAATACTAAGTATATTTTAATAATAAAAATCCAAATTTACAGAAAATGCAATTTCAGGAAAATTGAATTGTTTGATATTTTTGACAGAAAGATTTGTGTAATTGAGTCAGTCAAATCATCCATCATCAATTCGATTAGCTCCAAACGGTGTCAATATTTTCTGACGTTCAAGACACTTCGAAATAACAGTCATAGTGCACGAATATCTAATAGGTACGGGGCTTTTGATCTTCAAGCACAAAGGCATTCCCGCCTGTCGGTACGCCAATAACCTTGAAAGGTTATTCCGTCGCAGTAAACAAAGTAAATATAAGTAAATATCATTCGTTAAATGTGAAATTAAGAAGTGATAAACTGAATCGATTATTTCCACGAAATCTACATCACGTTCTCTTCTGCATAATGGGTAAGAGGAAGGCCACAGGCAATGCGAACAATCCAAATCATGACCTGTGTGATTTTTTGATGGGTAAGTAATTTCTTTCTGTATGTTGTAAAATGATTTTTTCGTTGACAAGGAAAGGGAATATAATTCTGTTTAGATTTCTATTGTAAGAATACGCGAAAGGTATATGGTAAGATGTCTATTTGCAGAACTGGCAGATTATGAACGTAATGTCAGCAAGAATGTTTACAAGTACAATGCATATCGCAAAGCAGCTGGAACATTAAGTGCTCTGCCGGAGAGAGTTAAGAGTGGAGAAGAGGCGAAAAAGTTACCTGGAATAGGAATAAAAATTGCAAAGAAGATAGATGAATTTCTTCAGACTGGAAAACTGCAAAAGCTAGAAGATGTACAATCTTAAAATGAGAATTTCAATACATATGTAAATCTTCCTTATATATATTTTCTTTTTTCAGATCAAGAAAGATGATACTAACGTCGCCATTAGTCTATTGGCTCGGGTGTCTGGCATAGGTCCTGCCAAGGCAAAGGAATTAGTGGAAGCTGGTATTAAAACTTTGGAAGATCTTAAGAAGCATCAAGACAAGCTTACGCATCATCAGAAACTGGGATTGAAGTATGAAATTGATTTGTTGACATTGCATATATTTCAACTAATATAACAAAGTAAATTCTTATAGATATTTTGATGACTTTGAGAAGAAAATACCAAGAGCAGAAATTGCACAGATAGAGAAGGTATTGAAGAATGCTATCAAGGAGCTAAACAGTGCTTATCTCGTAACTATCTGTGGGAGTTACAGACGTGGCAAAGAGGAAAGTGGAGATATCGATGTTCTTGTAACTCATCCTGATTATATATCAAAAGCAAAAGATGGAAAAAAGAAGGTCATATCATTGAAAACAATTGTTGAGTGTCTTGAAAAGAAAAAATTGATTACAGATACAATATCTCTTGGCTCTACTAAATTTATGGTATATTAAAATAGGACTAAGAAGCGCTTATATGAGGAAAACATTTTTAATTATATATTATCTTTGTGCAGGGAATATGTCAGTTACCAGAAGATAAAAGCAAGCCTTTCAGAAGATTAGATATACGTCTTACATTTCACGATCAATATTATTGTGCCATACTTTATTTCACTGGAAGTGATCTGTTCAACAAGAATATGAGAGCTCATGCATTGGAAAAGAAATATACTTTGAATGAATATGCATTAAAGCGTCTTACAATCGAAGGTAAAGTATGATCGAGAAACAATACATAAATATGTGAAAATGTAGCAATTCAAAAAATTTCATAATTATAAGAGATTATTTTTAGGTCGTCCAGGAGAAGCTGAAAAAATTACATCCGAAGAAGACGTTTTCAAATTCCTAGGTTTACCCTATAAAGATCCAAAAGATAGAAATATGTAAACAAAAAAAGATTTTCTTTTTATATTCATAATTTATTATCATATATAAATATATTTTATGTATTATTTATTTATATTGCAATGCAAAATAAAAAAATCTGTTAAATTAATATGTTAAGTAAAAATAAAAAATTTTTCACACACAATAAATTTTATAAAAATTTTATTTAGAAAGTTAATACATAATAAAATGAAAAGTGCGTTATTTATATATTTTACAATAACTGTCAATCAACAATTGTATAAGAGCGATGAATATTCATCATTTAACAAATTATTTTAGAAATTTATTTTCGTAAATCACACAGTCTCATAAGCAAGTATATATCTGCATTAACAATAATGTAAGTGTAGCAATTAGTAATAATACTCAATCTCTTAAACACAGGATTATGATGCTTTACAATAACATCATTAATAATATCTTTGACATTATTAATTTTAAACAGATATAATAATGTCTTTTAAATACAACCAATATGCAATAACACCCCATAACGTTGTGGTCCACAAATTCATAGCGAGAACTGACCAATGCGTAGCATGTGACAGTGTCCAGGCCCATGGAAATATGCCCTTGGTGACAATATGCCCAACATAGAGAGTAATTGGATTCAAACCTAAAACAAATATAAAATTAAAAATATGTAGAGCTCATTTCAGTTGTAGTTAATGCATAAAAAAATGAAATGCATATTTGGACACTGCATGATAAAAGAGATAAAAAAAGATTCAACAGGAAAAAGAAATTTATATCTGTATTATTAGATAACACATACCTGCATAGTTGAATGGTGCACCGCTCCAATATTGTTTATAATCGACAAAGACATATAAGATTGCATATAATAAAAATGCAAAACAGGATACTGTCAAAATAAATGAAAGCGACATCATTTTCTTGCTGACTGGTATTACTCCAAATTCTTTGTCAAAGTCACATAATATTCCAGCAATAAGACCCTGAATATCAATATCGATTATTATTAATCGTATAAATGTACTTTCTTTCTGTTGCCATTATGTAGAATAAAAGAAAATTGGAACTTACGGTGACAAATGACCACAGCAACCAGCGTATTACTTTAGCATTGCATTGGTAGTAGAGCAATAAAATCTTTCCAGCATGGACACCCAAGTACACAACAAGTATCATAGATATAGTGTTCAATATACCTATGACACATTGATTATATATTTCATTATAAAATTTATAAAACTTTTATTGAAAAAAAAAATGTTATGTATACCTTCAGGATCATGAGGCAAGATGGTACCATACACAGGATTATGTGTTTTGGAGTACATATGATTGCCAAACACGAGTCTGTCTATGTAACCGGCTGCGCCTCCAGTACAGTTAGCGAATTTTCCGAAATGATGGTAACCACCGGGTCCCAAGTATCCTGTTGGACAATTCGGGACAGGCAGGAGAAATGTGATTAGGATATGCGTCATCATAATCGCTAAAATGATCAACCACTGTGCCCAATTGTTCAAGATATCTCGCAGGACTGTAAATCGACCGAACTGTAACACGTCGTCCTAAGAGATTATTAATTATCACTATTATTGATCCACCGTAGACATACGTAATATATTATAAAGAAAAAAAAAATATAATTCAAACCTGAGAATGCGTCTTCATAAATATAGTCTCAATAGTGGCGCATATG